TAGAAATGCAATTAAATCCAGAGGAATTTCAGAAGAAATGGCTAGTGAGAGTGTGACAAAGATCAAACACTATCAATACAATCATATGGAAGCAAGGTCCTTCTGAAGATTATCCCAAAATGCCTAAAACAGCACATCAACAGAGAATTTCCAGATATGCAGGCTGGTTATAGAAAAGGTGTGGCATTAGGGATATTAAAACCAATGTTAGATGCATCTTGGTTGAAAGCAGAGAGTACCAGAGCAATATCTATCAGTGTTTCATTGACCATGCAAAGGCATTTAACTATGTCACAACAAACTGTGGCTAACTCTGAGAATAGGAATCTCTGAACACTTGATTATGCTTATGTGAAACCTACACTTGTACCAGAAGATGGTCATCAGAACAGAGCAAGGAAACACTGTGTGGTTCAAAATCAGGAAAGGTGTATATCAGGGATGCATTCTATCTCCATATCTTTTCAATCTAAATGAACAGATCATCTAAGAGACTGAGCTCTATGATAAGGAATGTGACATCAGGATTGGAGGAAGGCTCATCAACAACCTGCATTATTCAGATGACATAACCTTGCTCAATGAAACTGAGGAGGATCTGAAGCGTTTGCTGCATTTGGTCAAGGACTGCAGCCTTTAATATAGATTCAAGAAAACAAAGATTCTCACCACTGGATGAATTGGCAGCATCATGATAGATGGTGAAGAGATTAAGGTTGTTAACAGCTTCAGCTTGCTTGACTCCACAATCAACACTCTTGGTACCAGCAATCAAAGATCAAAAGATAAATTGCGCTGGGGAAATCTGCTGTCAGGGACCTCTGTATAGTAAGTACTAAAGATCAATGATGTCAGTCTGGAGGAATTGATGCCTTTGAGTTATGGTGGTGGAGAAGAGTATTGAATATACAGTATACTACTAGGAGAACAAATAGGTTCATTCTGGAGAGGGTTAAACCAGGCTGTTCCCATGAGGCAAGGATTCTGAAGCTTCATCTGACATACTTTGGGCATGTTGCAAGGAGGAACCAGTCCCTGGAGAGGGATGTCATTCTTGTAAGGGTGGAGGGACAGTGCAAGAGAGGAAGACCTTCAATGAGATGGATTGACTCGGTGACTGGGGTAATGGGGGTAGGTGTGTTAGAAGCCATAGGATTACTATGAGTCACAGGCAACTTGATGGCACAGTGACTGGGGTAAAGGGAATAGGTGTGTCAGAGACAGTGAAGATGGCTCAAGATAGAGCAAGGTTCAGAGCTGTTGTACACAGTGTTGAGACAGATTTTATATATAAAATTTCTGAGATTGTAAACCTTTATGTGAGGACACTACTATCTTTCTCAGAGTTTGTAAACCTTTATGTGAGGACACAACTATTTTTCTCAGAGTAGTTGATGAATTTAAACCACTTACCATTCAGTTAGCTCCTCAATATATAAAACATTGTACGTGCACAAAAACACTGTCGTGGTGCCAGAAGCGGATTGCCAAGTGTCTCTGGCCCTAACTGCAGCCTGAGTCTGGGGAACATTGCAGACACCAGCCAACTCTCCACGGAAGGCACACCACTCCCTTGACAGCCCTGAGGATGAAGAGTCTGAAGGCAGCACTACAAGTACCATGACTCCGGCTACTGCAACCTGGGAATGGAAGCACGCGAAGAAGAAGAAAACGATGCTGCAAAGCCTACCATGGCCACGGTGTTTCTAGAAGGAAGAAAGGACAAGGACGTCCACTTCAAGCTCCACACTTGGAGCTGGCCACACGGGAGGCAACCGCTACCGTGCTGGCACTGCAACTCCTGGCTCCTTCGCCGAGCTCCAGCATAAGAAAGGGGGCAACTAACACCCAGAGCTGGAGCAGCAGCAGGATTCGAACCCGGAGATGGCAGAGGAACCAGAGCACCAGTAGAGGGCGCCACACCTATACCGCGTGTCCTTCACCAGGGTTCAGCTGAAGGAGGGTGTGTGTGTGTGTGTGTGTGTGTGTGTGTGTGTGTGTGTGTGCGCGCGCGCGCATTCTAGAACAACCAGTACCTGGAAGTGTTCTCTAGAAATACGACTACAAAACGCCTCAATTTGATTGAAGCCAGAGTGCAGGTTTGGTTTTAGAACAGAAAGGCCAAGTGGAGGAGACATCAGTACTCATGTTTCCAAACCCATCGCCATAGACCCTTCCATGGGAGTCTTCTCAGATATAGCCTATAATTCCCTCCCTGTCCTGGACCCTTCTTGGAGATATGTTCATGTAGCTCCACAGCCTGTAGGGCCATATGGGCCTCCTGCCCCCCCCCCCCCAGGCCACCTGGACTGCCTGTACCACCTTTGCCTCCTGGGCTACCCCTGCATCCTGGGCTACCTAAGTCAGCCATGCCTCAAGTGTCACCATTTGGCATGGCCCCTGTAGATAGGGCTTTGGAACCTCCCATCAACGACCGTTCCCCAGGTCCCAATTTCCAAGGAATGGTTTCTACAACAGTCTCCAAAGCGTTTTTCTGTCAGACACAAATGGTACAAAAGTACAGCATCGCAAGTAGTTAATTCATCTGTTAAAATGAATAATTTAATCCTGTAGAGCATATTTGTTTGTTTTCAATAATGATAGAGATGTTCAATGAAAAAAAAAAAACAAAAACACCAAACAAACAAAAACCCTATTGTATGTGCCACCAGGACTTTTTAATATGCCCTGGTGTATTCAGAGAGCACTTGTAGCCTACTGGCAAGAAGCTGTGCTGCAACCTTGAAGGCATCGTTTCTAATCCACCAGCTGCTCCGTGGGAGAAGGGTGGGCAGTCTCCTCCCGTGTGATTAACTGCCTCTGAAAACCTGCTGGATGGTTGGCTATGGGTTATTTTCAACTTGATAACACACAACAATAACAATAGGTGTATCCTCCCTAGCTTTTAGAGATACTAATTTATTTATAGTTTTTATTGTTGATAGCCTAGTGGGGTAAGGAGTTTCACTGCCAACGCAAATGCAGGCAATTAAAATCCACCAGCTGCTTGGCAGAAGAAAGGTGGACAATCTTCTCCTGTGCTATTTGTGGTGTTTTTGTCATGTGCAGTTTGGTTAGAACCAACCCGTTGCTGACCCTCCACCAGGTTTTCAGAGGCAGTAAATCACTCAGGAGGAGATTGCCTGTCTCTCTCCAATGGAGCCGTTGGTTGATTTGAACCATGTACCTTTCTGTTGGCAATGCAATTTACAGCTTCTAAAACCCCACCAGAAGGTCAGCTATCAGTCTTTTTTGACTGAAGGCCAGTGATTGATTGGTTGGCATGTGTATTTGAAGAAGATGGAGTTTGACATCTAGTTTTAAAGAAATTTTACTCAGCTGATCTATTGCTTACCTAATCAAGTTAGAACTTCATGTTCAGTCAGAACTGTCTTCCCTCAATCATTTTTAATTTTTTTTGTAAGAATGTAGGTACTCCTAATAAATATTTCAGGCGATAAATGTGAGTGGACAGCAAATAGAATTTCCCTTTATCCTCCTTGATTGCCCAATTCTACTTCCTTTATTGTATCCATCATTGACAGTTTCTTAAATATGCTGCCAAAATTTTCTCTATATATTCAAACAGATGTATTTTATTCTTACACAAATGGAATTTTATGCTGCAATCTGTTCTGTAACTTGCTCTTTTTTACTTCACAATTTGTCTTAAAAGGTTTTTTTAAAATACTATCCAAATATGCCTGCTTGAAAAATTAGTTATAGATTTTCCTTTACATGGTTTCCTCCCACTGTTTGACACTGTCAGTCTTCATTTCATAAGGACTCTGTTTCACTGTGTTCTTATAATTCTGACAAAGCCTATCACTCCTGCAATTTACATTTCTTGCTTAATATTAACTTCCCTGTAAGATCTCTCCTTAGAGTGTTTATAAACAAGCACAGAATTTTCCCATCACTTATGTTTGCATCCTTCTCATTTACTTTATGTTCATTTTAGTCTTAGTTCTTTTATGACACTTGAAGTAACCACTAGCAAGTACAAATAAGATATAGATATTTATACTGTCAAAGATTCTTACTGTAGCTTTAAATATTGTTGTTACTGTTGATTTTCTTTGAGTCAAGCACAATTCATAGCGATCCTATGAACAAAAGGCCTAAAGCCCCTCTACATCTATCAACAATTATGAAAGTTTATAGAGTTTTCAGACGATCCACTTCTAGGGAGTGGATCATTCACTCTTTTGAAAAGACCCCTGATGGCATAGTCTAGAATGTATTATGCTGCAGACAAACATCTGTGCATCTCTAGTGGTTCAAATCCAACAGTAGCACCTTGGGAGAAAGGTAGACCATCTCCTCTTGTTAAAATTTACAGCCTTAAATATTCAATGAAGGGTTGTTTGAGTTAGAACCAATTGGACAGCAGTGAATGTGAAAATTAGAAAAACTTAGTGATCTCTTGCACACTCATTTTTCTATTTGCAAAATGAGGATGATAATGCTTAATATTCGTAGTGTTTGTGAAGAAATGTCTGTGAGGAGACTAAAATGCTTTATAAAATGTCTCTTTCCTTGTTAATTTTATAATTTTCATAATTTTCTAGTTTGTTACTTAATACTGTAAAGATCAACTTATTTTCTGCATTGTGAAATTAAAAAAAAGGTTTTCATTTTCAAAACTTAGAAAACAATTTATATTTTTATTTTCCTGAAAATTCCTAAAGTGCCTTTTCCCCAGTCACTGGACTGTAGTTCTATAGAACAACAATAATTGCTTTGAAACTTAGAGAAATAAAAGATTCTGTGTTCAACTACATTTGGGAAAATCTTTGATTAATCTAAGTAGTCTGTGTATGTATAGAGTGAGGGGATTGGTGTTAGAATTTTTAATATATTTATGTAAATTATTAATCTCTAATAGGAGAAGCAAGCTTGCTGTGGTTTTTAAATTAATTTCCTCATGAAACCTTTCCACCACTGTTCTATCTTAGAGGGTTTATCTAGAAAATGTATTGTTTTCTGATTTAATGTAGACTGAGTCCCAGAAGACCATTGTCTTGCACACACTTCAAGATACTGTGTTGAAGAGAGACAAACGTTTCATTATTCAGCTTATTTCGGTTGATGACGCAGAAATATCTCCCGTGAAAGGTGAGAGAAATTGACCTTTTTAGAAAGTTGAAGAGTAGAACCACAGAAAAGCATAACCAAATAATCATTGTTGAAGAAATAAGGAATGTAGGTTATATAATTGCTACAATGTTTACAAATTTTTTAAATTTTTTTATTTTATTATTTTTGTGTGAGTGTACTGTCAAATCAGATCTGACTGGTACAGGAGGAGACTGCCCCTCCTTCCCCGGCAGAGCATCTGGTGGATTTGAACCGTGTGCCTCTGGGATTGTAGTTGCAGCTCCTTGCCACTAGGCCACCAGAGCTCCCCTAATTTATTAAGATGAAACATTAAATGTAATTTTCTACCTATATTACTTATCAAGAATGTTCAAAATTATATGGCCCAGTTGATAAGAGACTAAAGATTTCATCCTGATGAACTGTACTATTTGCTTCTGTGTTCCAGTGCCTCAGTGTGCTTCTGTGTCCCTCAAAGTTTTTATCAATAAAATGATAATAATGTTGATACCTAACTTATATCATAATCAATAAAATCATGATAATGTTGATACCTAACCTATATCATTATTGGGGGCCTTGAAAGGAAAAAGTTGAACTGCCAACCCAAAGGCAGGTCATTTAAATTCACTATTTACTCCTTGGGAGAAGCAGCTTTTCAAAATCCATTGATTGGTTAGCTCTGAGGCAGTTCGGACACAATGGTAATGGGTGAATGAGAGTGATTATCAAGGGAGATATGATTATCATGGGGAATTAAGTAGGTTATAGATTTAAGATGTTTGGGACATAAGCTGGCATATGTAAGTGCATTCATATATTTGTTTCATAAGTGGTAAATATCATCTTCAACTTAGGAAGTGCTTCAATAATCATTCGAGGAGATAAGGAAGTGTCAGGAGAAGTTGGAATAGCTCCATCATCTAGACATGTCCTCATTGGGGAACCCTCAGCAAAATATAATGGTACTGCTATAATCAGGTAAGGATTTAAAAATAATTCTCTTCCTACCAGGAGTTCTTGTGATCTCGTAGTTATGGTTGTGCACTGCCAACCCAAAGGCAAGCCATTCAAATCCATTAGCTGCTCCCTGGAAGGAAAATTAGCCATCTCCTCAGGTACAATAGAGTTTTATTCATATAATCAGCATTTTATGCCTCAAATACAATATTTCAGTAGTCTTTAAGATTATAATTTTGTATGCTGATATTATCCTGTGAAAAGCAGCCTAAGCTTTTGATATACTTTGAAAACAAATATACTGAACTCACTTAAATTTGAGAATCTCTGATGGCATAGTCTATAGGAAGCTACATTCCTAACTCAAAGGCTGTGCATCTCTGATAGTTCAAATCCACCATTGGCTCTTTGGAAGAAAGATGGAAAGTCCTCTCCTGTGTGATTTATGGCCTTAGAAACGGAAAAGAAAGATTTCAGTGAATCAGTTTTGACATGACAACAATGAGAGCCTCCTTGAAGTTGAAATCCCTGGAAACTCAGAAGAAAGACATGGTGATTTGTTTCCAAAAAACTACCACTGAAAGCTTTATCATTTTGGACTCTATGGAGCACTCTGGCTGTACCTCCCCCAAGACCTATCTGTTTGTTTGTTTGTTTTTTTGGGAGACCATATTTGGTACTTTTCCCCAACACCACAGTTCCAAAGCATCGATTCTTCTTCTGTCATCCAGAAGCCTAGCAACTGATAGCCTTGCCTTGATGCTTGAGCTGAAAACTCTATTCTTCTGGGTCATTTGCTTGACCTATGTAGAGGAACCACCACTCTTCTGTCAGTTTTCCATACTGTGATGGCTTGCGTGTTGCTATGATGGTGGAAACTATGCTTTTGGTATTTAAAATAGCAGTTACCCATGGTTGGCAGGTCTCAGTGGAGCTTTCAAATCAAGATACTAAGAATTAGGACTGACCATCCACTTCTGAAATGATGAGTCATGACTCAAAGAGAAACAGTGGCAAATATGCACTAATAATTCAAATGTAGTGTGTATGATACATGAACCTAGGAAAATTGAAATTTGCCAGAAATGAAATGTTGTTATTAGGTGCTGTCAAGTAGAATATGAATCATAGTGACCCCATGACCAACAAATCTGAACCCAGTCCTATTTTGTGCCGTCACAACTACCTGACACACTAGAGCCCATTCTGGCTGTCACAGTGTCAGTACACCTGGCTGAGGGTCTTCCTCTCCTTCACTGAGCTTCCACCTTTACAAGCATCATGCTCCACTCCAAGGAATAGCCCCTCATAGCAACCTGCCCAAACTATGTGAGGTGAAACTTCATCATTCTTGCCTCCAAAGAACACTTTGGCTGCATCCTCTCCAAGATGTATTTGTTTACTACTTTGGCAGTCTATGGGATGTTCATTGCTCTTCTCACCACCACAGCTCAGAGGCATCACATTTTCTCCTGTCATCATTATTCAGCATCCAGCTCTCAGATGCATAGCAAGTGATAGGAAAGACCATGGTCTGAATCAGACATAACTTAGTTCTCAAACTGACTTCATTACTCCTCAATAATTTGGAGAAGTCCCTAATAGCAGATTTCCCCAGTGTAATACATCTCCTGATATCGTGACTGCTGTTAATAAGGTAATAAAGGTAATAAATTGTGGATCCAAGTAAGACGAAGTTGTTGACAGTTTCTTCATCTCTTCTTCATCTGTCTATTGGTCCAAAGGGGAGAATCTTTGTTTTCTTGGCATTGTGTTGCAATCCAAACAGAAGGCTGCATTCCTCGATTTTTTGCAATAAATGCTCCAAGTCCTCTTCACTTTCAGCAAACAAGGTTGTGTCATCTGCATAACACAGGTTACTGATGAGTCTTCCTTATGCCGCATTCCTCTTCATAGTCAGCTGTCTGGCCAACAGATTGGAAGAGGTCCATTATTTGTTCCCATTCCATAGAAAGGTGATCCAACTGAATGTGGACACTGCGGAACAATATTAATATCACATGCAAGCAAAACATTGTTGAAGATCATTCAAAAATGGCTAGAACAATACATATGTAGGGAACTGCCAGATGCTCAAGCAGGATTTAGAAGAGACCATGGCACCAGAGATATCATTGCTGATGTCAGATGGATCCTGGCTGAAGAAAAGATTAACAAAAGAATGTCTATTTGTGCTTTATTTACTATGCAAAGATATTGACTGTGTGGATCCTAACAAGTTGTAGCTGACGTTGAGAAGAATGCGAATCCTAGAGCACTTAACTGTGCTCTTATAAAACCTACAATTAGACTAGGAGGCTGCTGTGTGAGCAGAACAGGGGAACACTTGCATGGTTTAAGATTAAGAAGCGAGTGCATTAGGGTTGTATTCTTTCTCCGTACCTATTTAATCTGTATGCTGAGCAAATTATTCAAGAAGCTGAACTCTATAAAAAATAAAATAGGCATATATCCTATGCAGTGCTTTTCTAGTTATTAGGTGCTGTCGAGTTGAGTGTGATTCCTAGTGACTCTATGAGTAACATATCTGACTCTGCCCTATCCTATGCCATCCTCATAATTTCTGACATGCTTGAATCCATTGCTGCAGTCACTATAGGAATCTGTCTTGTTAAGAGTCTTCTGCTCTTTTAAACCTACTCTCTACCTTTCCAATTATAATGACTTTTTCCAAGGATTAGCCTCTTTATAACATGCTCAAAGTATGTGATATGAAGCTTTGTCATCTTTGCCTCAGAAGAGGATTCTGGGTGCATTTTCTCCAAAACATAGTTGTTTATTCTTTTGGCCATCTATGGGATATTAAATACCCTTCTCCAACACCACAGTTAAAAAGCACCAATTCTTCTTCTGTCATCCTTTTTGTCTAGTTTTTAGATGCATAGGACATGATTTAAAAGGCCACAGAAGAAAACAAGCACAGCTCAGTTTTAAAACGGACATCATTGCTCCTCAATTATTTGACTGATCTCTGACAGCAGACTTTCTGAGTGCAATATGTCTCCTGATCTCCTGCCTGCAAAAGTACAAAGGGTATTGGCTGTGGATCCAAGCAACATGAATTAGCTAGCTGAAGTAGGCTTGTCTTAACCATTTTTAGTCAGACATATCATCTATTATGCTGGCAAATTGAAGAGAAATGGTGTTACTTTCATTATAAAAAAGAACATTTCAAAATCTTTCCTGAGGGACAAAAATGTCAGTGATAGGATAAAAGTAGCATGCATAAAAGGATGATCTGTTAATACTACTATTACCCAATTATATACACCAACAACTACAGCTAAAGATGAAGAAATTTATAATTTCTACCAATTTCTACAATCTTTGATAGATGCTGCTGAAATAGATTACATGTGTAGTTGAGAAGGACTAACGATAGTTGGTAATTAGAATACAAAACTTGGGAAAAAGAAAGGCTGACAATTTGGAAATTTGATATTGGTGGCAAAAATGAAACTAGAGATCACATGATTTAATTTTATACAATCAATATTTTATTCATGGAAGCAAATAATTGAGAAATCTATACCTAGACCAAGAAGCTGTTGTTTGAATGGTACAAGGGAACACTGCATTGTTTTAAATCAGGAAGAGCATGTACCAGGGTTATATCCTTTCTCCATAACTATTCAATCTGTATATTGAGCAAATAATTCATAAAGCTGGATTCTATGAAGAGGAATGTGACATCAGGAGATGACACAGCTTTACTTGATGAAAATGAGGAGGATATGGAATACTTACTGCAGAAGATTCAGGACTACAGTCTTCAATATGGATTACATCTCAACATCAAGAAATCAAAGGTCCTCACCATATGACCAACTGTCATATCAACTATCAACATTATGATAGTTGGAGAAAGTATTGAAGCTGTCAATGATTTAATCTTGCCTGGGTCAACAATCAGCACCATTGGTTCTAGCAATCAGGAAATTAGAAGACACATTGCATAGGGCAAGTCCATTTTCAGGGACCTCTCTAAAAATGCAAAGAGCACCTTATTAAGGCCATGGTCTTTTCATTCACCAGCTATACATGAGAGAGCTATATAAATGAATAATAAAGACAGAAGAAGAATTGATGCCTTTGAGTTCTGATGCTGTAAAAAACTACTAAATGTCCCATGGATTGTCAAAAGAACCGATATGTCTTGGAAAAAGTACAGCCATAGTGCTCCTTAGAGGCAAGCATAGAGAAGTGCTTCATCCTTTGGACATATAGCTAGGGTGAGCAATTTCTTGAAAAGGGACATCAAGCTTTTAAAGGTGGAGGGTCAGCGAAGAGAGAAAGACTCCCAATGAGAAGGATTGATAAGGTGACTTCAGTGTCAGAGATGATACAGATAATACTGAATAGGTCAAGGTCCAGGTTGGCTATTCATCAGGTCACTATGAATTATACTTGACTTAACAACAATAAAAACAATGTACATGGAACTTACATTATGGGATACACAGAAATCTAATTTGGAGTGACAGTAGAACAACAGTTCATCCTCATGAGTTAAAGTAAGACTAGAAGTCATCGGTGAAACAGACAATCGATCAATCATAGGCAAGTTCAAATGGAAGCTGAAGAAAATGAAAACAAATTTTTAAAAGTCAAAATTTGAGTTTGTGGTTTTTTTGTACCAGAATATAAGAAACAACTCAATGACAGATTCGATGAATTAAAAAGTAATGACAAATTGTGGATGGTGTTAAGGACATCATACATGAAGAAAGCAAAAATCATTACAGAGATAGAAAAAAAAAATAAAAGACCAAATTGGGTGTCAGGATTCTGATCCTTGAATGTATAAAAGCTCAAGCAAAAGGAAAAGCCTATGAACAGATTTCAAAGGCATACTGTTAGAAGACAAAATATTATCCTGAAATATGGAAAGATCTACCATTAGTAAGTCAGAAGGGGAGCACATGCTCAGAGATTTATCAAGCTGAAGAAAAAATTTACTCATCAAAGTTTCAGTACTGAAGCATTTTATGGGTAAATTT